TGAACATTTCTTCATGTGTTTGTTTGCCATCTGAATGTCTTCTCTGGTGAAGTGTCTGTTCATATCCTGTGCCCATTTTCAACTGGGTTATTTATCTTGTTGTGGTGCTTGAGTATTTTATAAATTCTAGATGTAAGTCCCTTATCTGACATGTCATTCCCAAATACTTTTTCCCAGTCTGTGGCTTCCCTTTTTACCCTGTTGGAGAAGTTTTTGGATGTGCACAGGGATTTGATGCTTAGAGAATCCCCATTCCTCTATTTTATCCTCTCCTGGTTGTAGATTTTGCAGGATGTTTGGAAGACTGTTGATGTTGTGTATTAAGACTTCTAGAGTTCTTCCAACCTTCTCTTTAATGAAGTTTTAGTCCTTGGTTTTAGTCCTAAGTCCATGTTCCACTTTGAGTTGGTTTTTTTGTACAGAGTGACATGTGGATCTTGCCTGAGTTTTCTGCAGATTGTTTTCCAATTTTGTCAACATTATTTGTTAAAAAGAAAGTCAAGTATTTTCATTTTCAGAATTAGAGAAACTGATGCATAATAAAGTTTTTATTAAAAATGCTACTTTCAACTTTTTTTATCAAAACAACTAAAGTGTTGAATAGTTACATTCAAAATGTATTTGAGAATTATATTCTCCATAAAACCATCACACCATAGTTACAACAAAGAAACTATGTGACTGAATAGTCTCTCGTGTATATGGATGGAAGATTCAAATTAGTACCCAGGTGATTTAATTATATGTTACTTATCTTGCACATTACAAATACTGAGCCTGAATTGGTTCTTTAGTTATTATTAGAGGAGACCATCAATCTATCAAGAGAGTATTTCCTTCCTTCAATGACTTTGAAATTAGATTTCACTTAATGTTTCATTGAAGGTATTCTTTGGGGGGTATTTTTTTAATTTATTAGCTTAAAATGCTCCCTACATAGTATATTTTTATTAATATACAAAAAAAATATTTACAAATGGTATCCTATCCACGTATATAGAGGAGGATTTACAACACACTTTTTAGGACGTGCATAATACAATCCACAATAATCTTCAGAAATGTGGTTGTTCCTGCTGTATTAAATGCCACTGAGTCAGAATTAACCCATAGCTGCCCCTCCAGCAGATTTTAAAAAGCAATAAATTGCACAGAAGGAGACTATCTTTCTCCCAGAGGGACTGTGTGAAGTATGTGTGACATCAGGTTAGAGGTACAACTCCTTACCTCTGAGCCACCAGTGCTCCCTTATAAATGTGGTAAGTGCTATTATTACCTGTATTTTACAGCATTTTCATCTTCTTTTGACACTTTTCATGCCACCCAATATCTTTCCTAGGAAGCTGGGGTGGCTTAGTGATAAGGAATTGCACTGCCAAGGCAAAGAATGGTACACAGTTCAATCTATCAAGTGCTCTGTGGAAAAGAGAGGCAATCTCCCACCACATGATTTACTACCTCATTGAAGGTATTCTTTAAGCAAAGGTTTCTGATAATCAAGCAATGACCTAAGATAATAAAAAATCAGGTAACATGTTTCCAACTTGCTTTCTAATACTATAAAGCCGTTTGAAACCATTCTCATATGCTTTTTTTACTATATATCACAGAAGTTTATATTATACAAAGCAATGATTATTTCACTATATTTGTAAGAGAGCAAAAATACTGTTAATAAAGAAATTTAAAATAAGTATGACTAGTGAGCCAAATGTACATCTTTTATAAATGGGAAAAACTACCAGTAACATGTAATAATCTACATTAAAAACTAGTATCTCACTAAGTACAATTTAATCTCAGTTACTGATGTCAAGAACAGAACAAGATAAAAAATTTTAACGTCCTATCTCTGCTCTGAAAGCTTACAGTTTAAGAATTTTACATCAGAAGAAATCACAGTGAAATTAAAGGCATGTGAACTATTCAGTAGAAAATTGAGCTCTGTAAACTTTCACCCAATTTACAATAAAAAGTTAAGAGAAAAAACAGCAGTACAACCAGAGAAGTGTTATTTCTACAGACACAGAAATGTTTAGTCAATTTACATTTTGGTAAATAGTTAACAAGACTGATTTCTATGTGCTGTAAGACATTCTTCTAAGTGCCTTTCAAGGATTAATTCAAGTAATCCTCAAAACCATTTTAATTTTTCCACTAAGAAAATGGGAGGTAAAAAGAGATGTTACTATAAAATTGGCTTTCACCATAAAAGCACTGAAAAGTTTAAGTAGAAAACATGTCAAGAAAATGGAAAAAGCACAAGACAAAGGAAAACTAAGACTACTACATCTAGACAAGAATAGAACAAAAGGTCCATGTTCAAGAATATAATGCCGAATACATACAGTGCCAAAAAAACCCCACTGCCATCAAGTCAATTCCAACTCTCAGTGCCCTCCATAAGGTTTCAGAAGTTGTTAATCTTTATGGGAAGAGACTATCTTTCTCCTGCAGAGTACATGGTAGACTTGAAACACGGACCTTTTAGTTAGTTGTATAACATATCACTCCAAATAAGTACAACAGTTTTGGACTACAAGTGGCCTCAACTGTGCAGCAAAAATTTTTTTTGTTATTGTTGCTATACACCTTTGAGTCAGAAAAGACTCAGAGTTGACACTCCAGTGGATTTTCAAAGGCAGTAAATCAAACAAAAGAAGAATGTCCATCTTCCTCCCATGGAGCAACTGGTGTATCTGAACCACATGCCTCTGAGTTGGATGCACGACTCCTTACCACTAAGCCATCAGAGCTTCCTAGCAAATGAATCAAACACTTATAAAATAGTTAGTGCAGGGCATGATTATCAAGTTATTTAGCATTAAAAATGCCCTTCTAGAAACAGTAACCTGATAAACATGCAAAGTGAGAGAAAGCCAGAAGCAAGGAACTTCATCTAATTCTAATTTATGCCAGCTCCATAAACTGGTACCTGAGAAACCAGAGTTCAAATTTAATTCTGCCACCCTTCTCATTTATAAGTCCATCTATTCTGAATAATGGAACTAACAACTTTCACTAGAATATCTCTTAAATGCATTTTTAAATAACTTCATCTGTAAAGTTAAAAGGTACATAAAAATACATCACTGAGAAATGCTAGTTAATATAATAAAAAATTACTCTTTTTGTTTTAACAGTAATACGCAAAAAAATGACTAAATTTGGCACACGTATTCATTTCCTAATACAAGTTATTTATATCCATAAAACAGGGAATTTATAAAAGATTCTAACATACAGCCACTCTACATTGTTTTAGATGTAATACTACTTACCAAAAGTCAATGAGCATCATTTTTAGAAACATTATAATAGGTAATAAAAAAGTCACTAAAATTAATTTGATTTAATTTATTCACCTAATCATCATTAATTTAGGTATTTGTCACCCATACAATAAATGCATGTGAAATTTACAAAAAAGAAACACTCTCAAACAACTTCATTCTTCTTTAATGAAAGAAATTTCTTTCCAAGAAGAAATTGAAAAAACAAAAACCCTCAGATTTTTGAAAAGTGGATTACTTACCAGTAACTTGAGTTATCCTATTGGGTCTTTTCCCTCACAGATCCACCTCTCCTGCCCTTCTGTCCAGCATCAGAATCTTCCTGATGGACATCCACTGGAACTGAGGGGGCATGCAATTCAGATGCATACGTAAGAAAGTTGGGGGAAGGGATTTGGGAGATGCTACAGACATGCTTCAGTGCACTTGCTTACCTTCCTGAAATTGGACATTTCAACGGTTCCTTGGTCCTGGAAGCATTCACAATAACTTCAAAGAATGTGGATCTGTGGAGATTACCCAATAGGAGAACTCCAGTTACTGGTAAGTGATCCAGCTTTTTCTTCTCTATCAGAATAAGAAGATTATTTTTACATGTACATTATTATTATCATTACAAGGAAAGAGTCGCAAATTCACCAGATAAATACATGCACTGAAGTACAGAAATCAACTTCTAGATGACATTATCAAAAACATAAGAAAAAGAAAATTAATTTAATAGTTTAATTTTAAAATTTCTATTTTCATAGAAGCTATATTCAATACACAAAAATATCTTCCATTACACTATAGCGTATGATTTCACTGAAACTTACTTATCAAATTTGCTATTCCTTAACTAGTCATGTCATTAGCAGTCAGATATAAAACTCCAGGTGAAAAAGTATTATTACAAATCTCTTTACCACTAAGTCTTTAAAATACCCAATCAAGCTCATATACACAAAAGTAGATCAGGCTACAGATACATAATAATGCTGATTTTAATTTAAATACATGCAAAAATAAAAGAAAGCAATAAATTATAGTTTTGCTAATAAATTATACTTTTAAATAATTATCTCAAGATGTACATATCACTTTAAAAAGATTAAAGGCTAGATCTAACAAAAAAGAAACTTTATCTTCAAGTTTACATTATTTCATTCAATACATATTAATCATGTATTAATATTATATTAATCTCAATAAATATTAATCAGGTACATGTTCATTTTAATGTAATACAGCAATGATGACTTCAAGCACTAGTTTCTGCTGAAGATACAAGTGTTAACATTGCCCCCTTTACCATTCTGATCCTCAACAAACATCATCTACCTATGGTTTCACAGCTCTTCATTCTATGGAAACAAAGAAAGTATATGACTATACCTTTGTTTTAAGAATAAATAGAATTAGAAGGACTAGCAAAACATTATTTAACAAAAATAAAATGTCATTTCCAATGAAAATCTATTTTAATCATGTTATGATGTAGTATTTGTATTTCATTAAGGGTTTACAGCACACAGGCTAGATTCTTACTTCTAACAAGTACTTTGAGTAAATCTGGATACATTTTTCTATAAATATGAATTTTAAAGTCTGATAATAACAAATACTTCAGTGTTTTAAATTACCCACTCAATAGTGTTTTGAATTACCCACTCCCATTCATAATGGTTGCAACAGGTAAACAGCGAAAATGAGCATCTACAAAGATCTGTAAGAACTTTTAATCACTAAATAGTGAGTGATAAGGGTCTCACAAGTTTATATTGGTAAGATACAAGCAATAATTGGAGTATTTTACCCTAATTCTATAAACTAGTATAAAATAGACCATTACAAACTAAACAATGATGTTCAAATTTCGTTTATAGTAAATGCCTATAGATTTTAGACACAGGTCTTATGGATCAAATTAGGAATTTTAAAAAACTCAAAACTCATTGCTGTGGAATGCAGAAGAGAATTCCCAGTTCTTAAAGAATTCAGACTTTCTAGAGTATGGAGACTTGACAAACTCCTGAGACTACTGCCCTGAGATAATCTTCAAACATTTTTTAAGTCAAACAGTATTAGCTTAACTATTAAGAACATCTGCCTTGAACACCATTGTCTTTAACATCTATATGTGTTCAAACTGATAACAGCAACTGGAAAGGACAGAAAAGAAACTCAGGGGGCACTGACTATGGCAACTTATGAGAGCTGAACAATGAAGAAAAAGTAGGTGAGAATAGTCACATAACCTGAATAATGTAACTCACTATCACTGAACTGTACATGTTGAAATTGCTGGGTTGGTGTATGTTCTGCTGTGTGTATTCCTCATAACAACAACAAAAACAAAGTTTAAACCAAGGTGTCTTGAAAATATTTTAAGGGAATCAAAGGTGTACTCAGAAACTAGCACTGAAAATTAAATTTTCTTATTCTGATCCTGCCATAAACCCAACTAAGATGGATTTTATCATAATAGTTTAGAAAAGAAATTGGAAAAATGTATTCATAATAATTACACTCCTCATACACAAAAATATACTGTGTCATTATCAAGAACCAATCCAGTTACACTAATAAACCATCTGTATAAAATCAATATGAATTTATAAGAAGACTACTCATTAAAAAGTGTGACATCTAATAGTAATTTCCACCACCATCCTTCTGGCTGGATATCAGCCTATTTACCTGTAAAATAGAAATAGCAATGGAATGTCCTTCACAGGACAGCTGTTAAGCATTCAGAATATTAATGTAAGCAGAACAGTTAGACAATGCCTGAAAACTAAACATAGATCAAACTGTTAACATAATTATCCAGAAATGGTCTTATTCTCAAGGGGCTTTGGACATTTTTAGTTGAGAGTAGTCTAAGGAATAAAAGAACTACAGAGAAATCAAAAGTCTCACAAAGACGTTATTGTGATGGATTTATTACAGATTTGCCACTTTCTTGAAGCTATAAAAGTCATACTAATATGAGAATCACAATTTCATCACAAGATAAAACATCTATAACATGTTAATATAAAAAATAGAAATGCTAAAAAAATAAATAGAAATGCTATTATATATTCATAACTTTAAATATATATATGAATGACTGGGTCAATTTTAGCAACCATCTAGGCAGTAGTCAAGTACTAATACCATGTTACTGCTGTTTTTTGTTATGTGCCTTCAAGGCTGGGACTCATGGTGACCTTATGTATAACAGCTCTGGAGCCTGCACTGTCCTAAGCCAGTCTTACTGGCTCTAACACACCTATCCCCATTGCCCCTAGTTACTATGTTAATCCATCTGATCCAGTTCTTCCTCTCCTGTGCTGTCCCTCCACACTTCTGAGCATAATGTCCTGCTCTAAGGACTGGACCCTCCTGGCCACATGTCCAAAGTATGAAACGGAGCTTCAAAATCCTAGCCTCCAAGGAAACTTGGATTCACGCCCTCCAAGACAGACCTATTTGTTTTCCTGGTGGTCCATGTTCAAGACTCTTCTCCAGCACCACAACTCAAAGGCATCAATTATTATTCTTCTTCTGTCATCCTTAGTCAGTTTCCAGCTCTCTGATGTATAGCAAGTAATTGTGAAGACCACGGCCTGAATCAGGCTATCTAGGAGTGGTGATGGCACTGTGGCTAAAATACTGAGCTGCTAACTGAAGGTTGCCAGTGTGAATAAACCAGCTGCTCTGTAGGGAATCAGTTTCTGTCAAGATTTACAGCCTTGGAAATCCTATGGGACAATCCTATTCTGTCCTATGGAGTCACTATGAGTCAGAATCAATTCAATGGCCAACAAGTTTTCAGCTATATAAATGGTAACTGTAAACGTTACAAAACAAATAATTATACAAGATATTTAGACTTAAATAGCTGCCTGAAATATTCACACAAACTGTTTATCAACACTCCATATTTGCTGCTAACTTTTATAGCTTGAAATTCAGGACGGCAATCCCTGTCAAATTCTAAAATGAAAGCACAAGAAAAACAGTTTATGTTCGTGTTTAGGACTAACACTTAATGGTTACATTAATATTAAAATTTTGTAAAAAGCTAAAAGGGGAGGGGTACTAAGCACATCTCTGCTGTAACCAGAACAATCCTCTTGAACATTCTATTTCCTCCTTAAGTTTCTTTTTTAAGACAGACATGTACAATAAATCTTTTAAATAGTTTGATTAAAATATAATGTTGTAGGCAACCTCTAAAATGGTTTCCTAAGTGGCTCCCACACTTCCTGGTATTCACACCCTTGTAATAAAAATCCCCTGAGTACAGGCTGAAATCCTACTAAATTAAGAATGCAATCTGGAAGAATGGGATTGTCGTGGGCTCTAGTTGTTCTGTGACAGAGTTCTGGCCTTCCATGCAGGAAATCTGGAGTCAGTCTTTAACTAATGCACTTCCTGTGTAGCCATCAATCAACTGTCAACTGCTATGATGCTGAACAAGTTTCAGCAGTCTCCAGACACAAAGATTTTTAAAAGACCTGGAAATCCACTTACATATTACATCAGCCAGTGAAAATTGTATGAATGACAACTAAACCTGGAGATGGCACAACACTTGGCTGTTCTGCTGGACATAAGGTCACTAGGAGTCAAGGGCTAGCTTGACATAACAAGGTCAGCTGAAAATCACATTAGTGTGTTGCCTTATAGAACTCCCTCAATTAAGACAAAATGACTGTAGCTCCAGCTTAAAGCTTGACTACAGCCTTGTGAGGCCCAGAAACTACCCAGCTAAAGCATCCCTTAAGTCCCCATAGAAGATAATGTTCTCTTCTACAAATTCTGCAATAATTTGTTTCACAGAAAGAGATAACTATTACAGATAGCATTAGGGCTTTGAATCAGTTCTTTCTGGTTCAGCCACCACCAATGAAGTGAAACTAGAAACAGATACAATTTGTAAAATGTAGCAGTGCTGAAAACAGGGAAAAATCACAGGCTGAGAATTTCTAGAAACTTCCCTCTTTAAAACAAGGGCAGCATAAATGCTGTATAGTAACCAAACACCTTGACAGAGTCAGAAATAGTAATGCTCAGCTCAAAGGTGGTAGCCAACTATGCTGCTGTCAATGTATGTAGGTACCTTGTACATCCTAGTGTGTTATTTTCCACAGTTTGGGCAATATCCAAATTTCCTACATGAGGTGACTGAAAGATCTCTATATTTTAAAAAAAAAATCCAATTGTGATTTTAATGAAAGTTTACAGAAGGTTGGATTTTCTTTCATTCACTATTGCACATCCCCCCTCCCCAAGTTCATATTTGTTGTTTTTTTCTTAAATATTCATTCATTGTTGCACAATTACCTCCCTCCCACCCAGTTCCCCCCTCCCCCAGTCCTCCTTGCAACATAACTCTTATTGTGGACTGTTATGTCATAAGGACAATGACTATTCATACACACTCCTTTTAAAAAGATCTCTCCTTCATCTGTTCCAGTGCAATGTTCATTATCTATCAATTCTCATCCTAGTCTGAATCACACATTCCAGG